AGCACTGCTGACATTTCAAGCATCAGCCACATCGTCTGCTCAGCAAGTAAACAACGCAGAAGGTGACAGGTTTACGAAATAAACCTGACTGACTGTGTCTCATGAGTTTTATTGTCAGGTGGAGAGGAGTTTCCAATAAGACATGCTTTCTTTTTTTTTCAGTCAGGATAGTGGAAGGACACCATCTTTTAGTCTGAAAGCTGTAAATCTGCTAACCTCTCCATCTAACGCTGCTTCCCACAGCTGCAGCTTGTATTTACTCCTTTTAGTCATTTTTATATGCGTTAAATTGCTCACACACAGACACACCATTAATATAAAGCCAGCTTAAAAACAAAAATAACAGATCAAGGTAAATAGCTCTACAATGTATGTTTTGTTTAAGATTTTCTATCCTCTACTGAGCTCCATTGTACAGTGAATTCACAGCTAATAGCCTCTACAGCTTCTGCACTGACCGAGCGTCCCGTAATTTTAACATAAAAACTCAAACTAATTAAATTTACATACTGAAGCTGATACTTTGTTGAAGCATCTTGTGATCCGTTGGCAGTATTGCCTGCTTAGCTTTGTAAAAACATCCCCAGTCTGTGCTTTGCCCGCTCCACACCGCCCTACAGCCCGTTCTGTTGCATATCTGGTTGCATGCTTTGGGTCGTCGCGGTGATGACAGATGAAAGTCCTCTTCATCTTCAGCTTCCCAGAGGACACCTGAAGGCTTTGCACTGCCATCTCACTGATGTATAGAGCCGTGTCTGATTTCCTCCACCTTGACTGAGGCCGACGGTTCCAGCTGTCAGCCACAAGGAATGATGCCGTCATCACAGCGCTTTCCTGGGGTGTTTTTTTGTTGTTTTTTCTTTGGTGACATTCAGTTTTTTTTTTTTGTGCCAAACGTATGATTGGAATTATGGCCAAAATGTTCAACCTTGCCTTGTTTCCCCCCATCATACTTTTGGGAGATTTCACTTTTTTTCCTATTCATTAAACTTTAGCAAGTATTTCCTTTTTTTTTTTTTTCTTTTTGCCACTGAAGAAAATATCAGGAAAACCTCAATTAGGGTTAATCAGAGGCACTTTAACGGTGGAAGGTCGGAACTGATTCTTATTTAACATGGTGTGTGTGTGTGTGTGTGTGTGTGTGTGTGTGTGTGTGTGTGTGCGTGTGTGTGTGTGTGTGTGTGTGTGTGTGTGTGCGCGCGCTCTCTTATATATTTTCTTTCAGCTTTTTTTTTATTTTTTTTTTTTTT